CAGGGAGCCCGATGCGGGACTCGATCCCGGGACTCCAGGATCATGACCTGAGCCGAAGGCAGTTGCTTAACCAGCTGAGCCACCCAGGCGCCCAGGGTCTAGTTTTCTTTCATTAAGCCAGACATAAAAGAGATTTACAAAAATGTAAAACAATACCCCTTTTGTCACCACTTTGGTTTAAGTATATAGTTGTTTTTCATGAAAATGTTACTTATGTTAGCATGTAATATGTTTAGTGTTTATGTTAAGTGAATTGGATAAATACTCAAAATTTATTTCAGTTTTAATTTCTAATACAGTATTTATTAATAGGTAATGACTCATATAAACTGAAGTTCTTTGAGAGCAATAATAATTTTCAAAAATGTAAAAGGCTCTTGAGGCTAAAATAAAATTTGAGGACCATTTCTTTTATTATTTTACATGCTGATTCAGAGTCGCATAAGACAGTTCTCTTATGTTTATAGCATTGCTTTCTAATTTTCATACAAGTTGGTCTTGTTTCCCTACCAGATTGTTAGCTTTTTGAAAGCAGGGACCAAATGTATTGCTTTTGTTTATTTTCTCAGAAGATCGTGTTTATTCCTGGAATAAGTGTCCATTGAAGACTTAACAAGGGATTGGAGGATTCCCCACTGGCTGACCGTGTTAGGGCAGCATTTACTATGTTGGCTTTAACATAAATAGCTATATTTTTTCATTCAGGTGGAAGAGCACAATGGTCACATCTTTAAGGCTACACAGTATAGCATCCCTACATACTGTGAGTACTGTTCTTCTTTGATATGGATAATGGACCGAGCCTCTGTTTGCAAATGTAAGTATGAGTGATTTTTTTTTTTTAAGGAATTCATTGCAGCAATTGCAGACATTTCACCATGAACCTTCTTTTTGCTATAAAATCTTGTCACATCTGGCAGAACCCATGGACTTTGTGAGATCCCCATATATCCATTCTTCGAAGCACAAAATAAAGTCCAGAGACCTGAACTGACTTCCCAGGTTCCCAGGGGTCCCACTTTAAGCTTGTGGCTAAGAAGGGTCCTGTCCCTGCCCTCTGGACTCACGGCCAAGCAACTCTTCTAGAAGCTTTTTATCCACATCTAATAACCTGAGGACTCATTCTGAACTTCTCTGAAGCCAGAGGAAGAGCTGCTCTGAGGGAAGACACCTACCCTCTCACCATACCGTTACTGTATTTATTAGCCAGTATGAGTGATCTTTGAGGAGTTTTTTAAACCACTTAACATTTCTGTTTTCTAAGTTTACTCATATCTTTTTTAACATAAAGGGGTAATTTACATTTCCTGATTCTTTGGCCTCCTCTCACTATCCTCTTTGACCTACTCTCTAGCCAAACTAGATATTTTGCTGTTGTTTGCTCATTGTACTTGCAGCTTACTTTATCTGAAATGCTCTTCTCCCAGATATTAGTTTGACTATTTCAGTTGATCTATGTCTCCATCCAAATGTTACCTCTTAGAGAACTCTTTCCTTACTGTTATATCTAAAATGCCACTTGGTCCCCTAATTCTCTGTCCCCTTACTCAGCTTAATAGTCTTCATAGCACTTACCACTACACAAAATTATATTAAGTATTTGTTTTCTTGTTTTCACTCTGTCCACTAGAATGTATGCTCTGTAAGGTCAGGAAACTTAATTGTTTCTTCTGTATCACCAGTGCCTAGAACAGTTCTGGTATTACAAGTTTTGATAAGTTTTTGTTGGGTAGATGGATGGATGAATTAATGAAAAAATTATTAGATTATAACCAAAAAGATACTTTTTTCTACTCTAATCTTTTCATTAGAATATATAAGTCCTAGAATGTGAGTTGAAACTTTTTTTTAGGTCACCTTTGTTCTGGCTTACAGAGGACCTTTAGCTTCCACTTCTGTCATGCCATACATCTACTCTGGTGCTTTCAGTAATTCTGTGAGGTTTTGCTTAGTAGTGGGCCAGAATTGAATGAATGAAATATTAGGAAGTGTTTGTCCAGTAGGACAAGGATGAAAGTCATGTTTGCTGTAGTGAAATCACCACTATTGGTAGATATGTTCACTTGTTCTATCGTTCAACAGTGGTTTCTTTTTTGTTTTATTATTAGTAGTCTAAAAATTATAGTGAGAACAAAATGGGAAGTAGTTTGCCATTAACTTGACTGTTGAATGTTAGTTTGAATCTTGTAGGTTTGGCATAATTTTCTCTGTGTTTTGAAACTGAAAATGTAAAAAATCTGCTTTTTTTATGACTTGGGTGAGCTTGGTTTGATTTCTTAATAGAATTAACTAACTTTCTTTGTGATTATACTGGTGATTTCATCAGCAGAATGATACGGCCTCCCTTCCAGCTTTGAAAACCCCACAAGTTATACTTTAGAAGCTCAAGAAGGATTTTAGGTGTTGATATCCAGGAGCTAGAGCTGGTGTAGCAAAATGACTTAGTTCAAATATATTTCAGTATTCTCCTCTCACTGCTTCTTCCCACCTATCAACTGCCTAGCCACTCTGTTCTCTGTTGCTCCAAAGAATAATGTCTCTTCTGAACATTTTCTTTATCTTGTCTTCCCAGTCACAACTGATACTGTTTATCTTCTGGTTCCTCAGAGCTCTGTTCTGGACTTTCTAAGATAATAAGGCTTTTCTTCTATCTTAATGTGCTATGTACCTTGTTTTCATTTTAGTAAGGGTCTTTGGCAGTAATGCCTTTCTTACCCATTGGAATGATTTTTAATCGGTATTTCTGGCACTTCAACAGATTGTAGAGCAGGCATATTAGGGGAGCATAAAGACTAATTTGTGAATCAAGTCAGAAAGAAAGTATTCTGTAGGAATATAATGGGAGCAGGGGGAGAAGCAGGCAGTCTTTAAAGATTCAAAGCTTTTTCATAGATAGTAGTTAGAAATTTAGGCATGTTTTTCAACTTCATTTTTCTAAATAGAATGGGTTAAATCCTTTTTTATTCTAATACCATACCAAGTATGTATATGATATTACAGCAGTATCAGATTTAAAGAAAAAAATTATGTCCAAAATAAAGCTGTAAACTTTTTTTCTTGTCATTGATGTACAGACTTCTAAAAGTGCTGCATTCCTATCCTGTTTTTCAGTATGCAAATATGCTTGCCATAAGAAATGCTGTCTGAAAACCACAGCCAAGTGCTCTAAAAAGGTAAGAAATTATCACCTATGAGTAAAAAATAACAGATCTGTTGATCTTTTCTGCCTTGTGAAAGAAATCAAGTCCTCTTTGATGGTTTTATAGAGCAGTGGTTTTTAAACTTTTTGACCACAAATCACAGAAATATATTTTATGTCATGATCTAGCATATATATATATATATATATATATATGTATATATAAGGATATATTTGAATAATTGAATTGATTTTCCTGGAACTATATTTACCTTTACTACTTGGGAGAGCTACTAAACTGGTTTCACTGCTGACAGTTTATTAAAACACTGCTTTTAAAGATTTCCTACCTCATTAAATACTCATAAGCCTTCCTAGGAATTGTCTTGAAAGTGGTAGGCTATAACTAAAGATTTTAACATTACAGCAAAATCCACCAGCTTATTGGTGTTTTTACATTTTTCTACTTGGATACACAGAGATCTAAAAGATACTAAACATGTACTCTGATACTTTATCTTCAAGGAGGCAATGAGTTTTGAAAGATTTCAGGCTTTTATTGATATATAATCGTATTTTTTTTACTTATTAGTCATATATTGACAGTCGTGACAATACTGTGCAAATCTGAACTGTAATATAAATGTGTGTGTGTTGTTTACAGTCCATGTACAGAATTTGCATCTGTACATGGACATTTGCTTCCACCTAAGATGGAATAGCTTGTGGCAAACTAATATCCATGCTGAGAACATCCGAAGAAAATGTTACTGAACATCAGAGAGCTGCCCAGGCAGATTGGACTTTTGGGGTGTAGATCCAGGAGAGAAGATAATTGCAGAGTGATGAATCTGTGTCTGTGGGATGTTTTTCTCCTAGTGGGAGTTTGTCAATTTTTGTTGTAGGACAAGAAACCAAGGTTCCGAATAGAGGGCCACATTCAAGACTTAGAAAAGTCAGCAAAACTTTTAGGAATCTCATAGAGCTATGGAGACAAAAGTTGGAGTTTGGGATTGCCGGGACTTGAGGGACCATGATCCAGACATAACCCTGAAATTTAGAGGTTTTTCCCTCAAGGCATTTTTTGAGTTCTTAAGCTACATGGGGTAAAAGGCTAAGAAGCTAAACAGGAAAAAAAGATTAGATTTTTCTGTAGTTTTACATTGCTAAGGAAAGAAAAATTGGAATTGGAAATACAGAAATAAACATGAGAAACCTACAGGAAAGGATGAAAGGTTCTTAAATGTAAACAAAGACAAGAAATGAGAGAAACAAACATAAATTAGGTCAGTAAAGAAAATACATAGATTGGTAGGTATAAGTCCAAATGTATTGGTGATTACTTTAAATGTTAATAGGCAAGATACTTCCAATTAAAAGACTAGGTTAAAACCAACTGAAAATTCTCAGGTGATATGCTGTTAACAAGCAACATACTTAAATATAAAGATACAGAAAGGTTAAAAGCAAAAGGATAGATATAGCATGCAAAGACTAACCAGTAGAAAGGTGGTGTAGCTATACTAATATTAAGGTGTATTTTAGGGCAGAGAAACATTACTTCAGATAAAGGTATTTCATAATGACAAAATGGTCAACCTGTCAGGGAGATATGAAAATTCTAACTTTAGAAGAGTCTTAACATTATTGCTTCAATAGCTGATGGATAAAAATTTAGTAAGGATGTAAATGATATGAAAAACAGGATGAAAAAACTTGAACTAGTTGATGTGTATTGAACCCTGCATCTTACAACTGCCTGAATCGTCTTTTCAAGTGCACAAAGAACATTTGAGAAAATTGATCATATGTTGGGTCAAAAAGCAAGTCCCTACAAAGTTCAGAGGATTGAAAATATTGAGAGTACAGTTTTTGACCAGAGTGGGATTAAGCTCTAAATCAACATAAAGATAAGTAGACAATCCTCAAGTACTTGGAAATTTAAGGTTGGCTCTGGGGGAACCAGGAGGGTGGAGCCCTCACATTTAAAGAGATAGAATAACAAACAGTCCTGCTGAGATACAGCATAGAAACAGCAGTTTTTGAAAAATGCCTGGGATATATGGGAAGGAGATTTATTTCCTAATCTCAGAACATGTGCTGGAGAGGCAGGGATCTTTGAGGGACTTCTTCAAGAATAGAAGAGTTGAGGGGTATCATTTCCTTCCCTGCCTCCAGCCTAGATACACAGGCATCTACAAGGACTAGGGTGCTGCAACAACACTCTCCTCCTAGCTTGCTATTGGTGCACCTGCCTCCATGTTCTCCTGTGGAAATGCCCCCTCCAATACACCGTTGGCCAGAGCCCATCCAAAGTGGTACCATGAGACTGGTAGTGTGCAAGTGGCCCTGACAGGAGCCAGCACCACTCCAAAGTGTTTCCTGCTCCGGAGAGAGTGAAACGTAACCATACACACCAGTACAGTTGCAGCCCCAACAGTGGGCTAGAGGCAGATATCATGTCCAACTGCAGGCCTTGCCCACCAGCAAAAGCTTCTCAGGGGACAACAAAGGGAAAGTGCCCTGTACTTCAGTGCTACTGCATCTCTGGCAAACTCTTGGTCTGTTTCAACTTAAGTCCATGGTGGCCCCAGACTGGCCCACTAACAACACAGGGACCAACCCTGCCCACAACAGGCAGAGAGAGCCATTGTAGATGGCTGGACTGAAGACTCAGTCACAGTAGCAGGGTGCATAAAACACACATAGGAGACACCCCTGAAGTACCAGGTTCTGGTGAACAGGGGACATTGCATTATAGGCCATTATAAGACCTCTCTTTCATTTTTTTTTTTTTTAAAGATTTTATTTATTTATTTGACACAGAGAGACACAGCGAGAGAGGGAACACAAGCAGGGGGAGTGGGAGAGGGAGAAGCAGGCTTCCCTCTGAGGAGGGAGCCTGATGTGGGCCTTGATCCCAGGACCTGGGATCATGACCTGAGCTGAAGGCAGACACTTAATGACTGAGCCACCCAGGTGCTCCAAGACCTCTCTTTCATAAAGCCACCACGTTCAAGAGCAGGAGATGTAGCTGACTTTCCTAACACATAGAAACAGAGAGTTTCTAACAGAGAGTTAGACAAAATGAGGAGACAGAGGAATATGTCCCAAATGAAAGAACAGGACAAAATCCCAGCAAGAGAACTAAATGAAACAGAGGTAAGTAATATGCCTGATAGGGAATTTAAAGTAATGGTCATAAAGATACTCACTGGACTTGAGATAAGAATAGAGGACCTCAGTGAGAATCTCAAAAGAAAACATGAAAAAGAACCAATCAGAAATTAAGAACCTAATAACTGAAATTAAAATACATTAGATGGAATAAACAGGAGACTAGAGGAAGCAGAAGAACAGGTCAGCAGCCTGGAGGACAGAGTAATGGAAAGCTAACTGAACAGGGGAGAGAAAAAAAAATGGTAAATGAAAATAGACTAAGGGGGGCGCCTGGGTGGCTCAGATGGTCAAGCGTCTGCCTTCGGCTCAGGTCATGATCCCAGGGTGCTGGGATCGAGTCCCACATCGGGCTCCCTGCTCCTTGGGAGCCTGCTTCTCTCTCTCTCTCTCTCTCTCTCTCTTTGTCTCTCATGAATAAATAAATAAAATCTTTAAAAAAAAAAAAAAGAAAGAAAATAGACTAAGGGAACTTGCAGCACCATCAAGCATAATGACATTCACACAATAGGGACCCCAGAAGGCGAAGAGAGAGAAAAGGGGGCATAAAATCTATTTGAAGAAATAACAGTTGAAAACTTCCCTAATATGGAGAAGGAAACAAATCCAGATCCAGGAAGCACAGAGAGGCCCCAACAAAATCAACCCTAGGAGGTACACACGAAGACAGATAGTAACTAAAATGGCCAAAACTATTGATAAAGAGATAATTTTAAAAGAAGCAAGAAAAACAGATACATACAAGAGAACCCCTTTAAGGCTAACAGCTGATTTTTCAGTAGAAACTTTGAAGGCCAGAATGGAGTGGCATGACATATTGAAAATGCTGAAAGAAAAAACCTGCAACCAAGAATACTCTATCCAGCAAGGCTATGAGTCAGAATAGAAGGAGAGATAAAGAGTTTCACAGACAAACAGAAGTTAAAGGAATTTATCACCACTACACTAGCCCTACAAAAATGTTAAAGGGGACTATGACTGGAAAGGAAAGACTGACCATAAGTAGGAGTAGTAAGAAAAATAGGAAGCATAAAAGCAGTAAAAATAAGTGTACCTATAAAAATCAGCCAAGGGACTAACAAAAGATGTAAAATGTGACACTATATACCTAAAACATGGGGAGTGGTGAGGAGTAAAGAATGGGGTCAAATTTCAGTGACCACCAACTTAATATAGACTGCTAAATGCGTAAGATGTTATATATAAACCTAGTGGTAACCACAAACTACAAACCGGTAATAGATACACAAAAAGTAAAGAAAAAGGAATACAAGCATATCACTAAAGAAAGCTAGCAAACCGTGAGAGAAGAGAGCAAGAGAAAAAAGGAACAGAAAAGAACTATAAAAGCAACCATAAAACAATTAACAAAATGACAGTAAATACATACCTGTCAGTATTTACTTAGAATGCAAATGGACTAAATGCTCCAATCAAAAAACTTGGTGTGATGGAATGGATTAAAAAAAAAGACAAAACCAAGTCCCATGTGTATGCTTCCTACAGCAGATTCATTTCCAACTTAAAGACCCTTGCAGATTGAAAGTGAAAGGATAGAAAAGCATTTATCATGCAAATGGAAGTGAAAAGAAAGCCAGGGTAGAGCAATACTTACATTGGACAAAATGAACTTTAAAACAGACTGTTAGGGGCATCTGGCTTGCTCATTTGGAGAAGCATGTGACTCTTGATCTCAGGTCATGAGTTTGAACCCCATGTTGGGTATAAAGAGTACAAAAAAAATTAATAAGTAAAAACTTTTTAAAAAATTAAAAAAAAAAAGACTGTTGAGAGACAAAGAAGAACACTATATAATCATAAAGGGAACAATCTGACAAGAAGATATAACAATTGTAAATATTTATGCACCCAACATGGGAGCACCCAAAATACATAAAGCAGCTGGTATCAAACATAAAGTAATCAATAGTAATACAATAATAGAAAGGGACTTGATATCCCATTACATTAATAGATAGATCATACAGACAGAAAATCAACAAGGAAACAGTGACTTTCAATGACACATTGGACCAGATGGATCTAAAAGATATATTCAGAATATTCCATCCCTAAAACAGCAGAATACATACTCCTTTCAAGTGCACATGGAACATTCTGCAGAATAGATCACATATTAGACCACAAAATAAGTCTCAACAAATTCAAAAAGATTGAAGTTCTACTGTGTATCTTTTCTGAACACAGCAATATGAAACTAGCAATAAACAACAAGAAAAAATCTGGAAAGGACACAAATACATGGAGGTTAAATGAATAGGTCAACATTTCTTCTTGATGAAGAAATCAAAGGGGAAATTTAAAAAAATACATGGAGATAAATGAAAATGAAAACCAAACGGTCCAAAATCTTTAGGATGCAGCAAAACCTGTTCTGAAAAAGAAGTTTAGAGCAGTACAGGCCTACTTCAGGAAGCAAGAAACATGTCAAATAAACAAACCATCCTTATACCTAAAAGAACTAAAATAGAACAACAAACAAAACCCAAGACTAGTGAAAGAAAGATTAGAGCAGAAATAAATGAAATAGAAACTAAAAAAAAAAAAAAAAACAATAGAATAGTTCAATGAAACCAGTATCTGGTTCCTTGAAAAGATCAACAAAATTGATAAACCTTTAGCCAGACTCATAAAAAAATAAAAAAGGACTCAAATAAACAAAATCAGAAATGAAAGAGTAGAAATAACCACTAACACCACAGAAATATAAAGGATTATAAGAGAACATTGTGAAAAATTGTATGCCAACAAATTGGGCAACCTAGAGAAATGGATAAATCGTAGA